GGTAGGAGCTATTTTCATTTGCATTTTATGTTTTTTAAAAAACATCATAACCCTCCATAAGTAGAAAATGCCAAATTATATATTTGTAAGATGGGTAGTGTTTTTTAGGAGTTGTTCAAGTTCTCTGAACCTTAACAGTTCCCTTGGAAATAATCTTAAATGTGGGGAAAGCTGCTTTGCATATTGTAGCATGATCTATACCTTGTCTGTACTAATGTTGAAAGACTCACTCCATGCTCAGGTCTTTTCTACATGAACCTTTACATTACTTCCAGATTTTTATCATTATAAATAATGCCACAACATCTAGGAAAGTTGTTTTTCTCAGTGTTTAGAATTATTTACATAAGATTGATTTTTCACAGTGGAATTACTAGTTCATTTTTAGACATCTGGATATATACTTCTAATTATGTTTCATCATTGTTTTATCCTTTTATTCTGTATAATACCCAATGTCTTCAGTAGCATTAGACATTATCATTTAAAGATTTTGTCGTTAAGTTTTGTTTTTTTCAACTAAAGTCTTGTAGCAATTACAAATAAAAGCTGTAGCTTACTATATAAGTATTAGGGGTTCCTGAAATATTTCTGTTCTGCTAAAGGGTGAATAAGAGGTAACATTCAATAGTCACTGTAGTGAATGCAGGGTAGTATAGAGCTCCCCCATTTTTAAAAAAGATTTTATGTATTTATTTGTCAGAGAGAGAGAGGCAGACAGAGGGAGAAGCAGGCTCCCCACTGAGCAAGGAGCCAGATGTGGGACTCGCTCCCAGGCCACTGGATCATGACCTGAGCCAAAGACAGACGCTTAACCGACTAGTCACCCAGGCATCCCTAGAGCTCCCCCTTTTTATTCAGTAAGCATTTAGTGAGCTCACTATGGACTGGGCACTTTACTAGGCTCTGGGATTACAATGGTGAAAGAATGTGGATCTAGTCTTGCCTTCTGGAACCTGCTGGAGAGACACATGATGCAAGGAAAAACTGCACTTCTCTCTTGACTTGGCCAAGAAGAAACTGAGATGTGTTGCCTTCTGTCATCAAGCATCGGCCATGGGACTCAGTGCCACCACGCCTTCTCTTAGAAAGGCTAAACTTTCTTTAGCATCCCACACAAGGCTGATTTTCAATCTTTCCCTCATAAGGGCTGGTTTTCTAACCCATCTTTCATTTTTATTGTTCTTTGGGACCTCTCCAAGTTCTCAAAACCCAGTTAGATTCTATGGCTCAAAATGATGTTTAGAACTACTGAAACTTCTAATTTCAGGAGGATTACTTCACAATTCCATTAAACTATAGAGAATGACTATTTATGCATCCCTTGGGTTTTCATATGGGCCATCCTATCATTTTGTAGAGAAGAAGTTTCCCATGTAAGGAAAAGTGACTTAATTAAAAAGTTGTCCAGCTGTTTATATGAGATTGAATGACTCTTACACATAATTCTTATGTTATCACTGTATTTCCTTAATTATAGTTTGCCACACCAAAAATGTGAGGTGAATCATTAAGTCATACATTCTTTTTTTAAATATATTTTTAAGGATTTCATTTATTTATTTATTTGTCAGAGAGAGAGAAAGAGAAAGAGAGAGCACAAGCAGGGGGAGCAGCAGGCAGAGGGAGAAGCATGCTCCCTACTGAGCAAGGAGCCCTATGTGGGACTCGATCCCAGGACTCCGGGACCATGACCTGAGCCGAAGGCAGTCGCTTAACCAACTGAGCCACCCAGGCGCCCTCATTTAATACTTATTGAGTACCCACCTTGTGCAGGCATGGCTTTAGATGCCAGGAACAAGGTGAATAGTATAGACAACCAACCTCAGGAAACTTACGTTCCAGTTTCCTGGCTGGGTCCTATAGGCCTGTGGTTGTGACCCCTGGTTTATATCAATGAGGAAAGGATATCTTCAGTGTTAAAACCTTTAGAAGGATTGAGGGGAATGGAGATTGAGAAGAGGCCAGTAGATTAGCTGATTGGAAATGCTTTTAGAATGCAAGAGAGTTAAGGACTAAGTGGGTAGTAACAATGCAGATATTAAGATATTTGTGTAAGAAGGTTCGTGAATAGATGAGAGGGTGATACAATGATGTAGCAAGGTTGAAGGAAGTTTTGTCTACTTTGTAGCAGGGGGAGGATATGCATCTGTTTCTAAACCAAGATTAAAGGGGCATTGGAGAGGGAGAGGTTAAAGAGTTGAAAGGACTTGTAACCTTCTAAAATGCAAAATTGACTGTAGAAAGGGAGTTGGAACAAAGAGAAAGAAAGATTACAATACATTCTTTGAATACAAAAAGCAGTTGGAAGATGTTAGAACCTATGTATTGCTGGGCTGGCTAGTGAGATGTGGGCCAGTTGACTTCAGTGGACACCTGAGAGACTTATCACTTGGGGGAACCAGCCTCTGCAGAAACTGGTGAGGGATGTGTGTGTGGGTGTAGTGTACCTCCTTTTTCCTCCTACAACCAGACAAAAGGTGAGAGGTTTATTAGACTTATTATTGAGAGAAATTGAGCCAGAGAGCCTCCAGATGCAAGGTAAGCAGGATAGTGAAGGCAGGAAAGAGGCATGGCACCAAAAACAGAGGGATGAAACAAAATTCTGTACCGAACTGTAAGACCCCCACATACCCGCTTCTGCTTCTAGAATGCCTGCATCCAGGTGAATACTCTTTACCAAGTAGGACATAGAAAGATTCTTCTTTGGAGAAACTGAATGTCCTTAGAAAACTAATCTTTCTACATTCACATTTGAGGGACTTGCAGTGAAATCCGCCAACTGATCATGCTATGCAGTGAAGTTGTTCATTGACACACTGTGACACATACATGAAGCTTGCAATCAAAGTTAAGTGCTTCTTCCTTAATTACATATGGATTATAAAAAACCATCAGAAATTAGAGTGTAGCTTCCAGCATGGAAGGGAGAGGCCAAACTATCAAACAGGAAACACTAATCTGGATGAAATGAAGATATTCAAGGATGCAGAGAGAAACATTAAAAAACCCACCTAATTGATTATATCAGGGATTTAAAAATATTGCATTCAGGATAATTTTTAAAAGAGAACAAAAGAGAATCCTGGTAATAAGAAAATAACAAAAATTGGTGTTGCATAGATGGATTGGAAAATAAATCAAGGAAATATCCCAGAAAGTAGAATAGTAGAATAGATTGTTAAGAGACTATGGACTCTGAAAAACAAACTGAGGGTTCTAGAGGGGAGGGGGATGGGAGGATGGGTGAGCCTGGTGATGGGTATTAAAGAGGGCACGTTCTGCATGGAGTACTGGGTGTTATATGCAAACAATGAATCATGGAACACTACATCAAAAACTAATGAGGTAATATATGGTGATTAACATAACATAATAAAAAAATGAAAAAAAAAAAAGGTGTTAAATGGTTGTCTAAAAAACAAGTTCCCGAAAGAGAAGATAAGAGAAGATTGTATAAAAAAATAATAAAAACTTACAAAAAAATTTTTTCAGTAATGTGCAATTCATATTCAAAGATGTGTTTAATACAATGAGTGGAAGCAAAATCCCAGGAAATAGTATTGTCAAATTCCAGAACACTTGAAATAAAGATATGATCCTGAAAGCATGAAGGTGGAGAGTGGGGAAAAGGAGACAGGAAATTAGAAGAAAGATGGAGACACAAATTACTGCATGTGGGGGTGGAGTGGGGACCTGCTGTGTGTGTTGAGGTTTCCTTTTTAAAAGGAGTTTGGATGCAACTAACTAGTTCAAAATGGTCATTTGGATGTTTGTGTTTTGGCATCACCTCTCAACTATACTTGTGCTCACCTTGAGGTTTATAGGTGGTCCCAAAGAGAAATGGCAGGCATCAAAGCCACATTGTTTTGTTATCTATTTATTTATTTGGGTACACAGGAAGGTTTTTGTTTGTTTATTTTTTATGTAAGCTCTACACCCAGTGTGTGACTCAAACTCACAACCATGAGATCAAGACTCCCATGCTTCACCAGCTGATAAACCAGGTGCCCCCACAAGAGTTTTTATTATACTATTTTTATGTGGTTCAAAAATTACATAAGAAAAATTTTTTGAAATTGTATAGATAATAAAGGGGATATACAGATACATTTTAGCACATACAGGGGCTTGAGGCTATTTTATATAGTCATTCACTTTATTGTCTGGTATGGAGAAGGGGGTCAGTTTAATAACATAAAACAAAATGGAAAAAAAACATTACTCTGAAGTCCTTCTTACTGGTCAAGGTACTACTTCCACCCTGGCTTATTGACTGCCCATCCAGCTCTTTTACACATACAAGGTCTTACACTTTTCCAATGAGGATTTGTTATTAATTCAGCCATGATTCAGGATCCCAGGGTGGGGATCACCATGTACCCAGGTCCCCCTTCACCAACCTGGGAGAAGGATGGAAGACAAAGTAGAGGTAGGGGGAGCCAGTTCGGATCTTCCCAGGAGATGTGCCTTCTGCCCCGTGGTTGTCCCAGGCTGACATTCAGGCTATGGGGCAGAAGGACTTGTCCACACGCCAGTACCATCCACACATGGAGACATCACCTCTTTTAGCAGTGGAGGTCTGCTGTTCTGCCAGCTGTTCCTGGTCTGGTTCTGGTTGGGGAAGCAGCAGTCAAAAGAGACAGTCTGGTAGTTCCTGATTTTGGACTTGGTGTGTTCCACCATGGTGCGGACTCCTAAAGACTCCCCTGAAGCAGCTGGCAGCTCACTGTGACTCTCAGCAAAGACGCCAGAGTCAGACCGGAAGTGGAATTAGCATTCTGTTTGCTTTTTAATGAACAATGTTACTTAAAGCAGTACAGTAATGGTCATTGTGAAATTTAGTTTATTAAGGGTGACTCTATAGAGAAAATTCCGTTTTAGAGACTGTTTTATTGTGATGGGAAAGAAATATCGTGTTACAAAGAACTTCATACCTAGATTTTCTTTCCTCACCATCCTCAGTGTTCTCACAATAATTCTTTGTTTTCCTTCCCCAGTAAGATATTTCCCAAAGGCCTTCCTGATGAGTATGCCATAGCAGCTATGTTTCGAGTACGAAGAAGCACCAAAAAGGAACGGTGGTTCCTGTGGCAGGTTTTAAACCAACAGAATATACCACAGGTCAGGAACCATAGAGTTGTGCTGATTAGTTTTCTCCTATGTGGTTATGCCAGGTGAATCTTGGCATGGTATGAAGGAATTTTCTTTTAGAGGAGTCATTAACAGGGACATGCAAGTATTCTCATAGTTAGGATGATCTTGCTGAGATCTGTAATATGATTCATATTTTCTCTAAAGACACTCAAACGACCCTTCTTTCAAAACTGCTTCATTGACACTAAGTCCACTTCACTAATAACTTCTTTATATCCTATCATTCCTGATATGTATTATTTTTAAATCAGTCATTCATTGTTTCATTTGAAAGTCTGTAGTGAGTGAAGAGGTGGGATATAAATATTGATTCCATCAATAAAAAGTTAATGAACACATGCCACATGTGAGTTAGTGACCAAGAGAAGAGATTTTTAAAAGTGTAATTCCTTTCTTAGGGAGCATAAGGTCTAAGGGGATGGCATCTAGGAGAACAATATACTAGAGCATAATCACAGTGTGAAAGATACAGTGGTAGAGGTAAGCTCAGAGTTGAGTGGGGACTATTGGAGCATAGAAAGGGAAGCTTCCTAAAATGGGGCACAGGGAGAAGGAACCCAGGAATACTTGTGCAAGAGATGACATGGGCAGAAAGGTGAGTGTGCAAGGACTCCAGGTGGGGAGGAGATGAACCTCAGTATTACTTACTGGCACTTTACATTTGTGTTTATTTCTGTACATATCCACTGAGATGTTTTTCATTTCACTGGTCTTTTAATCTGTTAATACAGTCACAATTTTATGATGGAAAGATGAACTGAACTAAGAGTATATCCTTTATGAAAAGGCATTTTCTCTGCACCATGCAAATCATCAAAGTTTCAAGAAGTCGATCTCAGTTTCCATGCTAAGAGAAGTGATCCTATTCTTATTCTTTTTAAATTAAGTAACATTTAATTCTTGAATTACTCATACAGAATTGTGTATATATATATATATATACTTAGATATACCCATACATATAAATATATACCCTCAGATGTTCTCTCAAGAAAGAAACATGTTACATTCACCAGAATGCCCCATGTTTAAAACATTTTTGTAGCTGGATATTTGCTGTTCTTTTGTATTAACAAACCTGGTAGACACAGATATCATCTAAAACATTTTGCTAAGTGCCTCAATTATACCAACATGTATCTCTAATTTTTAATTTGTGTGCTTTAGTAATTTTGAACACTGGTTTTAAAACATTTTTGCTGATTTGCATTTTTGCAGGTTTCTATAGTAGTTGATGGTGGAAAGAAGGTGGTGGAATTTACGTTCCGAGCTCCTGAGGGAGATGTGTTGAACTACATTTTTAAAAATCGAGAACTCCGTCCTTTGTTTGATCGTCAATGGCATAAACTTGGCATTGGTTTACAATCCCGGGGCATTTCACTCTATATGGATTGTAATTTAATTGCAAGCCGGCATATAGATGAAAAGGACACTGTGGACCTTCGTGGAAGGACTGTTATTGCTGCACGAGCTTCCGATGGCAAGCCTGTGGACGTGAGTTGTGATGTTGGTTATGAAATAGAACTAGAAAAGTTTCTAAATTAGATACCTTATTAAAACCTTCTTCCTTTAATTACTATGTAATACATTCCCTTCTCAACACTGTTTAAATTAGCCATCAGATGTGTGAAGCATAGCTATGTATTTCCAACTGTATTTTCACATATATTATCTTCTTTCTATTTTCTTCAGCATGTGAATTTAAAAGAACTAGGTCATGCCTTAAAAAATAAGATTATTACAATTAAATTCTTGTAAAAATGCACCACATGATACAAATAGTCAGCTTGAATAAGCTTATATGTTTTGAATAGAAAAGACTGGGAAAAGATGAACTTTAAATTAAATGGTCCCAAATTATCTGATGTTTCCACTCAAGAACAATAGACTGTTTACTCATCCTCAGAATAGCAGCAGTTTTGTATTGCAGACTATTTCTCAAAAGCCTATAATTGCTTTTAAGGTTCTACTGGACTGAAACATAACTACTAATTGTGTCAGTAGGTCATTTGGATGAGAACAAATGGCTAACAATACCCTTTCAGATAAAAAGGTTCTTTAAAAATCATATTTGGTGTTCAGGTGATAATAGATTTATTATTGATTTCCCTAGAGAAGAAGGCCTATAATCCTAAAAAAAAAAAAAAATCCTAAAATAGTGAGATATCTCTAAATTTCATGACTTCAGACTTTCTTATAGGTAGAATGATGAGAAAACCCATAAAATTTACCTGAATCCAGGTCACCAGTAGGAATTGCTAATGCATGTTCAATTTTTTTTCAAAAGTACAATTCTGTACAAATACATATTGGGCAGTGTATTTTTTCTAAATGCCCCTGTGGAAGGATTCATGATAGATAGATGATTAATAGATGGATAAATATAGTATAGGTATAAATATATATTCAATAAAATATTTTAAACTATTTTCTCTTAGAAACAATGAACAAATCAGTGAGAATGCCATAACTAGAGCTCAGTGATGATCAGCAAAATAGGCCAGAGTAGGAAAAACCAATCATGGAGGCAAGACATCATGGCACTGTGGAGAGTGAGCTGGTTTGGGGATCAGACAGACGTGGTTGTAAATCCTAGCTCATCTACTTAACTGTAATTATCTGCTAATTTATCTTGTTAGCTGTTAATTTATCTGAGTCTCAGTATCCTCAGTTAAAAAATAGTGTTGGTAGTTACCTACTTACAGTTGTATAGAGTATGTGCAGTAATGCCTAGTATGTGGTTAGTTCCCTGTATATTCATTTATTTATTCAGGACCAAACACTCCATCAACCTTGGCCTGAGAGAATGGGGAAAAAAAAAAAGTTAGAGTTTATTCCAACTAATGTATTTTTATTTTAAGTTTAATGCTTCTCTTTTCTCAGAGCTCTTGAAGGCTAATGGAAGAATCAAAGTCTATATGGGTAAATGGAGGCTGCCAATAATAATAACAGTATTAATTATAACACAACAATACTAGACAAACCTTTCAGAAAGTTCTCTCCAAAGGCAAGGGAAGACGTGGAGACCAGCGGTTAGAGCAACAGAGATGTAACTTTCAGCAGTAGGTGGAGTGTAGGTAGACAGGGAGTCAATTCAGGGAATTCTAACAACAGTATGAGGGAGTGGCACCTGCTGCAAGTACTAAAGTTTGGGACTGGAGTTTGGAATTGGAACCTCTTATAAGACTAGTGAGAGCAAATTGGGCTCTCTTTCAAGGACTGAAAGAACTAAGCACATACTGAAATAAATTCAGAACCTTTGTGGAGAGATGGCAATGAGAGAGAAATTACTTATTGCAAGAGCAGGGTCCAGGCTCAGAGCTCACCCTCTGAAGGTTGAGGGCTGTGTCCTGTGTCTCATTAACTTCTCACCCAAGAAAAGAATTGAACCCAGAACCCAGGGCTGAAACATATCAAGCATGTCCTCTAAAAAGACACAATGTAAAAATTATAGTGTTACAATCGTTTCATAGTTTAGTGAGGCATCCTACTTTATTTCAGGGTAAAATTAAAGCCATAACCAAAATGAGGAGACAGAGGAATATGTTCCAAATGAAAGAACAGAACAAAATGACAGCAAGAGACCTAAATGAAATGGAGATAAGTAATATGCCTGATAGAGAATTTGAAATAATGGTGATAAAGATAAAGATACTCACTGGGCTTGAGAAAAAAGTGGAAAACCTCAGTGAGACCCTTAACAAAGAGATAGAAAACATAAAAAAGAATGAATCAGAGATGAAGAGCTCAATAACTTAAATTAAAAATACATTAGTTGGAATAAACTCTAACTAGAGGAAGTAAAAGAAAGGATCAGTGACCTAGAGGACAGAGTAATGGAAAGCAATCAAACTGAACAAGAGAGAGAAAAAACAATAATAATAAAAAATAAAAATAGACTTAGGGAACTCAGTAACATCATCAAGCATAATGATATTCACATGATAGGGATTCCAGAAGAGGGAGAGAGAGAAAAGGGGACAAGAAATTTATTTGAAGAAATAATAGCTGAAAATATCCTGAATCTGGGGAAAGAAACAGAAATCCAGATCAAGGAGACACAGAGAGCCCCCAGCAAAGTCAACCCAAGGAGGTCCACACCAAGACACATCATAATTAAAATGGCAAAAAGTAGTGATAATGAGAGAATTTTAAAAGCAGCCAGAGAAAATAGTTACATACAAGGGAAACCCCATAAGGCTGTCAGCTGATTTTTCAGCAGAAACTTTGCAGGCTAGAAGAGAGTGGCATGATATATATATTCAAAGTGTGGAAGGAAAAAACCTGCAGCCAAGAATATGCTATTGAGCAGGCTATCATTCAAACTAGAAGGAGAGATAAAGAGTTTCCTAAACAAACAAAAGTTAAAGGAATTCTTGACCACAAAACCAGCCCTACAAGAGATGATGAATGGAAAGGAAAGAGCATAAGTAGGAGTAGGAAAAGTAGGAAACACAAAAGCAGTAAAATCAATTATATCTATGAAAATCAGTCAAGGGATTCACAAAATAAAAGGATGTAAAGTATAATACCATATACCTAAAAAGTGAGGGAGAAAAGAGTAAAGAATGGGTTCAAACATAAACAACCATCAACTTAATATAGATTGTTATATGCATAATATGTTATATACAAACCTAATAGAACCACAAACCACAAATCAAAAACCACTAATAGATATGCAAAAAATGAAGAGAAAGGAATCCATGTATATCACTAAAGAAAGCCAGCAAACTGAGAGAGAATAAAGCAAGAGAAGAAAGGAACAGAGAAGAACTACAAAAACAATCATAAAACAAGTAACAAAATGCAGATAAAGACATTACAAAAGAAGAGATCAAGGTAATGCTCATTTCAGACCTAAAGACACGTGCATATTGAAAGCGGGAAGGAATGGAAAAATATTTATTATGCAAACAGAAGTGAAAAAAAAGATAGCAATATTTATATCAGACAAATTAGATTTTAAAACAAAGAATGTAACAAGAGACAAAGAAGGACACTATATAATTATAAAAGGAACAATCCAACAAGAAGATATAACAACTGTAAATATTTATGCACCCAAATATGGGAGATCCTAAATACATAAAGCAGCTCATCACAAATATAAAGGAAGTAATTGCTAGTAATACAGTAATAATAGGGAATGTTAATGCCCCACTTTCTGTTTGGATGAATAGATCATCCAAACAGAAAATTAACAAGGCTTTGAATGACACATTGGACCTGATAAATCTAACAGATATATTCAGAACATTCCATCCTAAAATAGCAGAATACACATTTTTTTCAAGTGCACATGGAACATTCTCCAAAATAGATCACATATTAGGCCACAAAACAAATCTCAGCAAATTAAAAAAGATCAAAATCATACCATACATCTTTTCCTACCACAGTGCTATGAAACTAGAAATCAACCACAAGAAAAAATGTGGAAAAACACAAATACATGAAGGTTAAATAACATGCTACTGAAAAATGAATGGGTCAACCAAAAAGTCAAAGAGAAAATTAAAAAATACATGGAGACAAATTAAAATGAAACACAACAGTCTAAAATCTTTGCAATGCAGCAAAGCAGTTCTAAGAGGGAAGTTTATAGCAGTGCAGGCCTATCTCAAGAAGCAAGAAAAATCTTAAATAAACAACCGAACCTTACACCTAAAGGAGCTAGAAAAAGAGCAAACAAAACCCAAAAGCAGCAGAAGGAAGAAAATAATAAATATTAGAGCAGAAATACATGAAATAGAAACAAAAACAAAAACAAAACAATAGAACAGATCAATGAAACCAGGAGCCAGTTCTTGGAAAAGATCAACAGAATTGATAAACTTCTAGCCAGACTCATAAAAAAGAGAGAGACAGAGAGAGAGAGAGGACTCAAATAAACAAAATCAAATGAAAAAGGAGAAATAAAAACTGACAGCACAGAAATACAAACGATTTTAAGAGAATATTATGAAGAATCATATGCCACAAATTGGACAACCTGGAAGAAATCAATAAATTCCTAGAAACCTATAACTCCCAAAACTGAATTAGGAATAGAAAATTTGAATAGACCAATTACTAGCAATGAAATTGAAACAGTTATCAAGAAACTACCCCCCAAAAAGTCCAGGCCCAGACTGCTTCACAGGTGAATTCTACCAAGCATTTAAAGAGTTAATACTGTCTCTTCTGTAACTATGGCAAGAAACGAAAGAGGAAAGAAATCTTCCAAATTCATTCTATGAAAGCATTACCCTAAAACCAAAAGCAGATAAAGACATTACAAAAGAAGAGATCAAGGTAATGCTGGCCTCAGAGAACAAGTTTGGAAGTTTTCCTTCCATTTCTATTTTTTGAAACAGCTTCAGTAGAATAGGTATTATTTCTTATTTAAATGTTCGGTAGAATTCCCCTGGGAAGCCATCTGGCCCTGGACTCTTGTTTTTTGGGAGGTTTTTGATTACTGTTTCAATTTCCTTGCTGGTTATTGGTCTGTT